TTTCTTCCCCTCACCCACAGAAAACTTACCATGGACTTCTGACCCTTTCTTCTCTCTCAAGTTCATACCACCCAACTCAACTTCAACATCTATATTACTATCAAACAGAATATCATCATCTGATACATCATAATCACTTTCACCTACATAATCAGAAATTTCTGAGTCACTAACAGTTTCACCTGAATGATCATCTGATACATCACTATCACTTTCATCTGTTTCCCTATCATCAATAACATCTTGTAGGTATGTTCTACTTAAACCACCAGACTCATTCTCATTACTACCTACAAATGCATTTTCTTCACTGATTCTCCCCTCAGAACTTTCTAAGTTCCCAACAAATGGCAATGGTTCAACTACATTTGGAAACTCAGACTGATTACCGCTACAAATGAGGGGCTCATGTTCAACAAACAAACTGACAACTCTATCAGAATCCAACCATTGCACCAAATTCATAGCATCCAAATCATTCTCAAGTAGTGACAAATCAGAACAATCAGCCATTCCTCTTTTGCTACAGAATATTTTACCCACATTATCCAAGCCAATTTCTTTAACCATAGACAATATCTCAACCATTGACATCAAATCTTTATCACAATTGTCAATGAAATCAATAGAACCACCACAATACACATTTCGACCCACACTTACAAATTTACCAGAATGATTGAATGCAATCGTAAAAGCTTCAGCATTATCACCTATAAAATCAAAAAAAATAAAAATACCTCAGAAAACAAACAAAAAACTAAGCATGATAAAACACCTCGGAAATCGAACAAGAAACTAAGCATGATTTTTCATATGTTACGAAAAAAAGGTATCAGATTGGAGAGGTAAACACTTACAGTTTGTTCTTGCCGACTGAGACGATTTTGGCCGCAGCTTCCAACTCATTGTTGAGCTAAACCTAAAATTCGTACTCACAGTGTGCTCGATTTCGTATGTCGATTCAAAAGGTAGTGAAATGATTTTCGATTATGAGGCAAAGAAGAAAACCCTGATTTCAATTTTCGTTCGCTTAAACCCAAATTGACAAGAATCGTTCGCTGATGTTGGAGAGAAATGAAATTGGGAGAAAAGGTAGGGCAACCGTCAACCGGAGGTGGGCTATTTATATTGTGTTCAAAACCGGATCCTAACAGGTGAAACCGGACTTAAAGGTGGTGTGGGGGGTATTTTGACAAACCCGTGTAGTTTAGAGGGTGGTTTGCAAAAAAAATAAAGTTCATATGGTGATGCGCCATTTTCGCGAAAGTTCAGATGGGAAAAAGTTTTTTTCCCTTTATTTTTTTGCCACATCACATCCACATAACTAAATATAATTTCATTGAAGATGGTGTATGAAAAACAATCAACACCATAGTTTTCACCAGGTGAAAATGGAGTTTTGTTTAAAATTTTCACAACTCAAACGATATATGTACACCATTCTCATACACATAATAATACCCCCATTAACTCCGGGTTCAAGGAGAGATTTAGTTCAACAAAGGGTTTAGCTAGCTGCACTCTTTGGACATGAGTAGCACCCCAGCATCCTCAAAAAAGGATACACCATAGAACTAAAACATTAGCACAATGATAATAAACAATAAAGAAAAAGAAAATCCTCCGAACACGGGCTACGACGAACAACCACGACATTCAGTGGTCACTCTCCCTATTTCTCGCCACCCATCTATTCTTAGTGGCATCAATTGCTTCCTGTTTCACCCTCGACAGCTCCTCAAACCACTGCTCGTACAATGTCTCGATTGCATCTAATTCGACCTTCAGAGTCGACCTGCCATCTTTAAGGCCCTCATTCTCGGCATTCCTGCTTTTTTCAACCACATGGGTCCGACAGTCATCTTGAAACAGATCCGCAAACTCCATCTCGGATACTCCGCCACTCGATCCATCAAGAATCCAGTTTTTCCTCAGAGAGTCCTCAGAAGCCCCGGGCCCACGTGAAAGTAAGAACTTAACATTATTAGGAGACGCGCAACTAGGATACCTGTGCACCAACTTACTGCTGTCATCCTCTGGCTTTCTTGTTAGATGAGGTGGGCTACCTGTTGTGGGAGTCTCCCATTGGTCTGTCATCAAGGTCAGGCAACTTGCGCTCCTCGAGCCGGATGGTGGGTTCCAGTCTGGCCACATTCTCATGATTAGGTCATCGATGAGGCCAGTAATGATGCCGACATCATGGTCGACCAGCTCGAGCTGCTCGACCATCTCGGCTGCAACAGCGGAAGCTGTATCCGAGTCGAGGTAAAATATGAAGTGTACGTTCCTAACTCCACCTGTCGATAGGACTACAGATTTACGGAAAGCTTTACCTTAAAGGTTCCGTTAATTTGTATAAATTACTAATTTTGTATAAACAGAATTAGTTCGTTATGCACTTGCTCACTTACCGCCAAGATCAGCAATGCGCAAGGTTAATTCGACCGAGCTTTCATCTGTTTTCTTCCCTTTCAGTCTGAACTGATGGTTCTGGTGGGAAGTTCGAAATTCCATCAACGAAGAACAAGAACTCCCGTAACTGGAATCTGTGTAGATTGACTGATTATACTCGTGATCTATGTCCATAGAATGAGGCCTGTTGATTGACCGACTTGAGTATCGAAATGCTTCATCAGGTATTGGAGGAGAACCGTGAGCTGATACAGGTGCAAGGTCAGACTGAAGAAAGGGGTCTTTAAGAAGCTCTTTAGCAGACGGCCTTTGAGAAGCTGGAGCCAAGCATTTTTCGATGAACTCTCTGACTCCTCCAGGATCCACCTTGCCTAAAGAAGCAGGTTTAACACCCTGCAGGACAAAAATGGGTTCAAGGTAAAATGCTCAAAAGAAATAATAAATGCAATCCCAAGATAAAGATTAATGGACTCACTAATGTCACTTTTCGATAAATTTGAGCTGAATTATTGCATTCCGAATAAGGGTATTCCATAGTCATCATCTCCAACAAACACATTCCAAAGGAATATATGTCGACAAGTTCATTGTACTCCTCTTCGTAAAGCTCCGGAGCCATAAATTCCGGGGTTCCTAGAAGCACAAGTCAGGAATAGTAAATGCTCCTCTTTTAATGCGATTTTTCGATATTTTCAAAAAATAAAAATTCAACTTCATACCAATGACGCTCTTAGCTGTAGGTTTCTGCAGGATGGTAGCTAATCCAAGGTCCCCAATTTTAACTTCTCCTTGGTTCCCGTTAACAAAGATATTGTCACACTTCAGATCCCTATGAATAACAGGCGGGTTTTGACTATGAAGATAGTCTAAACCTTGGAGAATCTGTCTTGCCCAATTCTTAATAGCCCTCATATCGACTGTTTTGTACTTTTTACGATATCTAGCAACCGAAACTCTAGAATAAGAGAGAATCCAATTTACATAAAAATATGAGGAAAATAAAGCAGGGGATACTCACTGCCTCAGGCTCCCAGAAGTGAAAAGCTCAGTTATCATATTAATGGTTTTCTTTTTTTGGTCAATCCATGAGTCGTAAAACTTGATAATGTTTTCATGGCTCAGCTGACTAAGAAGATGAACCTCTGCATATAGCTTTTCCAAGTCTTCAGGTGACCGCAACACATCATCTATTTTTATTCGGTTCCATGCGACCTCAATCCCATCAATTTGATCAAATGCTTTGTAGCTGGATGTTAAAAAAATCTAGTTATTTTCATGTCAAATTAGATCCTACAGATAACTACATAGGACGGGCCGAAAAAAAGGAGAAACAAAAGGAAGGAACAGTTTCAAACTCATACACAGTCTTAAATGCACCCTTCCCCAGGACTTCACTGTACTGCAAAACAGAATCAAGAGCATGAAATCCATGTGAATTACAAGCGACAATAATCCATTATCGTAAGTTTTTCACAAAATGCATCCATTTACTAAATCCAAGAATGATCACAGGATAAACAGAACGATGAGAAGGCAATGCATTTTACAAAGATAATCGCGACTCAGTATGCCAACTGATATACCTCGGACACGATAGCATACATTATCACACTACAAACAAACAACTATCAACCTAGATTTATCAAAATGGTAGAGAAAACATCAAACAATGTCAAGACACAGGCGCCAAACATTTGAACAAACATACAGGAAAAATTAGAAAGTACCCGAATATATCGGCCTCTGTGACACTTCTCCACGTAATCAACCTCTTGATCGGAAGCCTCGTCACTAACTCGAAAGCCTAAGAAACCCTCATTTCTAATCCTACTCCCACCACCATCTCCTATAGAATAAGGGCATTCATAGCCAGGAACAGAACTCATCCCGGTCGTAAAAACACAAGAACAACAACAATAACAACCTAAAATCAGTAGAAGCAGAAATGACAGGCAAACCAACGAGAAAAAAATAAAGAAAAAACAATGGCGGCAGCCTAAGGAGTCAGCGAGGTGGGGATCTAGAGAGAAAGGGTTTGTTGTGGTTCTTCATCACGAAGGACCTCTGAAGCAATTGAGTACGAGCTCAACAATGGCGACCGCATGCCGCAGGCTACAGATCGACATTTCCGTTCGGCATAGGCGAGAGAGACATCTGCGAACGTCTGATTGGGCGAGATAAATGGCTCGGACGCTAATCGGCGAACAGATCTACGGTGCCTAGAGGAAAAAGACGGCATTTTTATCATCGGCGATCGAAAAATTTCCATAATACCTAAAACTCCGGCGCTGAAAGTACGATTAGATTCCGATGATTCATCGGGCTTCGTCACATGAAAAATCAACAGCAAATCAGCGTCGATTTCGTACAAATTGAAAGATGCATAATAAAAATATTGAAAGATCTTGAGAATGCGAATGAATACAAAATGTGGGATAAATGAGAAAATGAAGAAAGAAAAGAAGAAGAGTGAAAGAATGGAAAGGCTTTAATGGGGGATTGTTGGAAGTTGATATCGCCGGAAAATGTGGGTGGAACGAACACTTGTTTGGCGGAATTTTAGCGGAAAAAATAGTTATGGTGAGATGTTTAAAATAAAAGGGGGAAAAAAAAAATTAACCTAAATTGCGGTGAGCGTGGATCGAACACGCGACCTTCAGATCTTCAGTCTGACGCTCTCCCAACTGAGCTATCCCCGCTGTTGTCCTAGGGGCAATTCTTATTTTATTTATTCTTTTACTTACTCCACATTGATTTCTAATCCCTAACTATCAAAAGAAGGCATCTTAAATTAAGATGAAACTGCATTGTCAAAGTTGTTCGTCTTCTTGCAGAAATTCTATGGTGCCACAACATGATGTGGCACATTATGATTGGTGCCACAACTATCACACATCATGTTGTGGCACCAATCATAATGTGCCACATCATATTGTGGTACCATAACACGTGCCACATGTGGCACCATAGAATTTCTGGTCTTCTTGTGTTATAAAGACAATAAAATGAGTTGCAAATCTTGAAAGAAAGTTGAAAATCTTGATTAAGAAAAAATGAATATTCAAATTTTATTTTTGAATATTAAGAACCTCAATTCATGTTATAAAAAAATAAAAAATATTTACGTAAAAATAATAAACATTGATAGTAAATCATGTTGCCAAGTTAGGTATATAGCCAATTCTACAAAATAATTTGAAAATGAAAGGATTTTCTTTTCCTAGTCCAATTCTAAGACCCAAATTTTAAAAATGGACATATATATATATATATATATATATATATATATATATATATATA